CACACACACACACACACACACACACACACACACACACACACACACACACACACACACATCATACATACAAAGACAGAGCGAAAGTATGTGTAATTACTTTTCCGATGTGCAACATCGTTTACATCGTTTCCGAATAGTTTGACTCGTGAGAAGTCAATTTCTCGGTCCGATTCAACAATTCATTAATCCAGTCTTTGCGGTGCTTCGCGCGAGCTGCGACAATCGTATTTTTCTCTCATCTGTGGCGACAGAGCGCGACTGATCTTTTTCTCTTTATTCTACTAGTTTCTCACACGTACGAACGATTTTATCTCTCGCGGAAATTCCTGCTTATCGTTCTCGGGGGAGTTTATCGGTACATAAAAACATTAAAAATACCCTTGAGGCTGCGTTGGCAAAGTTTGCGGACGAAAATGGAATACGCGCGTCGATACGATACGACGGGGAGTTACGAGATCCCGGCGACGATTTTGCCGGAATTACCTCCGCCGCGGTCATTACATCGCCTATTTGTCCTCGAGCGTGCCTCGGCGCGGTACACGCGAACGTCCGTTCGTCCGTCCGTCGGTCGGTCGGTCGGTCGTGTGTCCATTGGTCCTTCGAATAGGAAGAGAGATGACACGCGTGCCGGGCGCACGACGATTGATTAGGGTCGTCCCCGCGGCAACCGATGGGCAAACACAAATAAAACAGGCGGACACTCTGGAGCGAGCCTGCGGAGCGTTCTCAGTAGACAGCTGACCGGTTCCTACGCGCAATATCTGCTTTGAGTTTTCGAGTTGTGCGCGCCGGTGGAGCCCGAAAGAGCGAGGAAAGAGAGAGACGGAGCTAATCTACTGGCAGCCCGGTGCCACAACAGCGACTACGTTTTCACCCTCAAGCCGTAACTGGACCGCGAAAGCCGCGCTTCCACCCCGCCGTCCTACTTCTCTTGCACACGTCTCTCGCTCGCTCGCTCGTTCCGAGACCGAGTTAACGATATCGAGTTCGATATAAAGTGTAGTTACGCTTAATCGCGCCGGAAATACGCCGAAGTTCTTCTCGAAAGAGGCGGCAAACTTTCGCTCGCGAACCCCTCAGCATCGCTCGACGAAGGGTGAAACGCTGATCAGTGATATCGCGTCGAACGACTTGTAGCCGACTCGTGTCGTTAGCGTGTCCTTGAAAGTATCCTCCGCAGACCGAGCCCGATTGCCCTTTACTATTTTCCCTTACCAGTCGGGAAACTGTTCACCGTTCGTATCCAGTTGCGACGCGCGGACAACGCATGAGCGATCATGGTAACCGGTCGTCGTGTCGCCGGGATTTGTATTCTGCACGTTCTGTCAGCGATTTTTACGGCCCACGGGGCGGAGGACACGTCCAGCGACAAACAGAAACCGACGCAGTCGAGGCCGGTGAATCTCTGTAGGTTTTCTCCTCATTCTTCGGGATGGGGAAACCTCGTGAGGCAGTAAACGCATTTGATCACGCCGTAATAGTCTATTATCGACTGATGTTTGTTAACGCGTAAAAGGGAGATCTCTCACAGTCTCTTCTAGGACGCCTCGGCAAAGCTGAGAACTAGTCTGTACTTTTTTTATGTACTTAGCATACGATTACTTTTTGTAACGCGTGCGGCGTAACTTTCTTCCTAAAGTAGAATAATTGTTGAGGCTGTCGAAGATACCGTATAGTGTTACTTAAGATCGTTCGAATTCACCTCACTTTTCTTTTTGCATGCCGCGTCGACGGTACCTTTCTCCCCTGCGACTAGTTATAATTAATGTCGCGAGGAACGAGATTGCCAACGCGAGCGTGACCAGCGCTCTGAAGACTCTGCGGGATAAGTATCCGGGTTACCTGGGCCAGGTGTGGGTATCACAGATGAACGTGACTGACGGCGGTGAGATCGTTGACAGCATGTGCCAAGCTTGGAATTCGGCCATTAGTCAGGGCGGCTCCAATGTCCCCGACTTGGTCTTGGACTTGTCGATGTCCGGTATGAACGCCGAAGTCTCCAGCTCGCTCACCGCGGCTCTCGGACTACCGACTTTGTCTGCTCAGTACGGACAAGAGGGCGATATCCAGTACTGGCGGAACCTGGATACCGATCAGAAAGGTTACTTGGTCCAGGTAGTTGAATATTTTGCAGAGGAACGCGTTTTTCTTCTTTTTCTATTGCACTTGTAATATTATTAAGATACATTATTAATTGCATTGTAATTTATTATATGGAGTGAGTCAATGACTATTGCCACTTTGAATGTCTTTGAAGCAAAAGGTGATCTTGAAATCTCCGAAGCTACTCTTTTCAGGAGAAAAACGAAACCACCGTAAGAAACTTTTTTCATAGAGTAACTTCGCAAATTTGAGAATCGTCTTCGTTTCTTGCTTGGAAGATATTCAAAGTGACAATAGTTATTAACTCATCCTGCATATATATTGTTACAATAACTTGCAACGCGAAGTTCTCGTGTGACTTAAAAATTTATAGATAGACATCAACAAAATTCAGCAGGTTATTAAGAGAAAGATTCGAAAATTCGCGTAGAATTTACGAGATTCACTTTTTTACTCATCAACCATCCCAATCTTCGAAGCTTCTCTCAAGTGTTGCGTCGCTTTAGGTAATGCCGCCGGCTGATCTGGTGCCAGAGGTGATCCGGCAGATCGCACTCCTCCTGAACGTCACCAATGGCGCCATCCTCTTCGACAAGAACTTCGTGATGGATCACAAGTACAAGAGTCTGCTGTTGAACGTACCCACGAGACACGTCATTAATGAAATAGCGACCTCGCTTGACGGGATACGGATACAACTATCGGCATTGCGGGATCTCGATGTAGTTAACTACTTTATGCTGGGCGCTGGCGAGGCCATCAATATGTTGTTGAATTGCGGAGAGGCATTGAGTTTCATCGGAGCTAAGTACGGCTGGTTCATCATCAGCTTGGACGACGAAATGTGGCCGAGCTGCTCATGCGAAAACATCACAGTGCTGTTCCTGAAGCCGCAGCCGCCAGCGGCCGCGGATGACAAGAATCAAGTTCAATTCGCGATGAGGGAGAGCCTGCCGAAGCCGGTTCTCAGTTCTGCTTTCTATTACGACCTCACCCTATTAGGCGTTAAGGCGATGAAGTCGGCCATAGACAATGGTGACTGGCCAATGGAACCGCATCATATTGATTGCGACAGCTACAACGGCACGAATCGACCTACCAGAGGATTAGACTTCTTCGCTAAACTCGTAGCGACCTCGAAGGACATGACGCCGACGTACGCTAACATTGTTTGGGGTACGAAGAATGGCGAGCATCACACGAACTTTACCATGAATATGTATATGGTGAACATCGAGCGCGAGAGGATCACGTCGAAGATAGAGAGCGGAATCTGGCAAGCGGGTACTGAGTCGATCTTGCAGGCAAGTGGAAATGAGGCACAGTGTGTGAGATTCCGAAGTCGAAGCACTGCATCAGTTAGACACAATATACACGCCACGTTTCTGTGTACGTGTGCGCATATATTCTCGCACCCTTCGTGATTTTCTCGTCGTTTTGCAACACGCAACACGCTTTCCGAAAATTTCATTTTACAATCTTCGATTTGTTTTCCCGACCAAAGTCAAGGATATTACCGACATCTCGCGGCCTTGTCGATTCTTCTTTCAATTCTCAAGTGGTATGTCCAAGGATTATTGATCGCATCTGACAGTCATGGCTAACCGAGCGGCGTGTGTGCGATCGATTGCTTATATTTTCTCTTTCCTTGGTCTATATTGTATGTACTAGCCTATCTCATGAGTAGATCCTGAAATGTAATTTGGAACGGAAAAACGGATCAATATATCCTCGCCGTTATATCAATCTAAAATCACATTGAGATCCCGTCGACGCTTATTTGCGCGTCCATTAAATATTTGTCCGCTCGTGAAGGATGCTCACGTTATATTGCGGTAAAGTAATAACAAAGACTTCGCTACTAACGAAGGGTGCCGAAGCTGAAGATTAATTTGAAGCTAGATTTGCATGTGGCTCGCATTTACGCTTTGTTCGAAGAATGGCTTTAATGAAAGAATGGAAACGTGCGAGGAATGAGAACGGTACAATACAAAATACTCGCTATCATCACACAGGTTATTAGATATGATAAAAGAAGTAACAATAGCAATTCTTTGGATATAAATTCCGCTTTTTTCTACTTTTATTTTTTCCTCGCTATTTGCTCTCGCTTGTTCTCTGCCTTGATCTTTATCTTCATCTTTTTTATTTCTTCTTCAAATCTTCGCTTTTATCATCTTCGTTTTCATTCCCATTCTTATCCTCTTCATCATCATTATCGTCCTCGTCCTCTTCTTGCTCTTTTCTATTCTCTTCATGTCTATTTTGCCCATTCTCCACTTTTCTCTCTTCATTTTCATCCTCATCATCGTTGTCACCATCGTTATTCTTGTTATCATCATCATTTTCTTCTTCACCTTTATTGTCATCACCTTTGTTATCATCATCCCCATTATCGTTATCCTGTTCATTCTCATCATTTCCGTTATCGTCATCATCTTCATTTTTCTCATTTTCATCATCATTATCGTCTTCGTCCTTATCTTTATTCTTTGCCTTTTCCCTATCTTTGTACCTTTCTTCACTATCTTTATCTACTTGCTTATATTTGTAGATTTCGACTTTAATGTCCTCCTGCTCCTACTCCCCTTTCTCTTCATCTTCATTCTCCTTCTCCTCATAATCATCCCCATCTTTATCGTAACCTTTATTTTCGGTTTTATCTTTACCTTCCAGCTCTTTTCTATTGCCATTATGATCACGATCTCTATTAGTCTGTTTAATTTCTTGCTTGTGATGAATGCCATTTCTCTCATTATCTATTGTTATTGCATCTTGATTTCCTGTAACCCATTTATTTTTTGGACACTGGACCGTGACTGCTTCCTCGCCTTCAATAACTGCTTCTTCTTCTTCTTCGTTCTTGTTTATGACAATGTCTTCACCTCTAAGCGGAGTACTGTCATAACAATCATCGTCGAAGAAGAGTCTACGTCTGACCGCAAATCGCACAGGGTCTGTTTGGATGTTTCTATCGCATTGGCGCTCCCAGAATTTTCGAGTTAAATTTGAAGAGAGAATTGTAGGCATACACGATGGGGCTGGTCGTGTCGTTCTCTCGATATTCCATGAATCGGTTTTTTCCGCCAGAAAGATATACTTTCCCTGATTCAGATCAACGATAGACGACCTGTTTTATAGTAGTATTGACGGAGAATATTGTTCTGTCTGCCCAGTAACCATCGTCCTTTATTTTCTTACTCCAGATTCATTTACAGTCTGACCTATATGACAATAAGTAAATTTTATGTTCCTATGTAACGACTTGTAGATATTTCCCCATTAGTCCATATCTTCCTTATACTAATTCAGGTTAATACTTGAATTATAATTGAATTCTGGTAAACTAGAAAAAATGTGAAACGCCTCACGATTTTGCGTGTCATCCTTGCGCAGGAGCCAATCTTCTCTGTATCGTTCCAATTTATATTTTTATTAATAGTATATGTACTGCCGAAGAGCAAGTATTCGTCCTTCGTATTGGCGTACGTAATGTAATGTTGACTATTATTCGGCTGTTGGGACATAGTGCTACTCACAGTGCGAGGAGACACGTTATTATTGTGATGGAATGCTTTGTTATTTCTTATCGGACTAACGGGTAATCATTGGCCGCATCGGATCATTAGGTGCCGTGAAGAGAGGACAATAATTCCTCGAACATGTGCTACACTTTCGTTATCTCCGCACACATCACCCTCGTTATCGCTCTCTCCCTCTTTCTAATGATGCTTGCTTATCTATCCTGAAAAAGTTCAAGGTGACGATGGACGATCGGTGTGTACTTTTGTTTGCTCGCTATATCGCACGAAAGTGTCACGAAAGCGGCACGGGCTCGCTCGACCAATTGCGCATTTAGTCTCGCTCGCTTCTCGCACCCTTCCACACCTGCGACGACGGCTCGATACCTCGCTTTCCATTCTACCCGAGCGTCGCATTATCGTCAATTAACCACCACCGAGCCAACCCACAAGAGCGGATTTGCATTGCGCGAAGGTCACCAACGAGGACATCATGAACAACAGCGCTGTGACGAGCTACCGCGTGATCACCGTGCAACACCCGCCCTTCGTCATGTACAACAACAAGACCAACGAGTGGTACGGCTTCTGCATTGACCTGCTGGACGCGATCCGCGAGACCGTGCCGTTTGAGTACGAGATACGCGAGGTCGAGGACCAGAATTACGGGTCGCTGACCGAGAACGGCAGCTGGAACGGCATGATCCGCGATCTCGTGGAGAAGCGCTCCGACATCGCGCTCGGCTCGCTCTGGGTCATGGCCGAGCGGGAAAAAGTCGTGGACTTCACCGTGCCGTACTACGATCTGGTCGGCCTGACCATCATGATGCTGAAGACGAAGACGTCGACGTCGCTGTTCAAGTTCCTCACTGTGCTGGAGAACGAAGTCTGGCTGTGCATACTGGCGGCGTATTTCTTCACCAGTTTCCTCATGTGGATGTTCGATCGATGGTCGCCGTACAGCTATCAGAACAACCGCGACAAGTACAAGAATGAGGAGGAGAAGAGGGAGTTCAATTTGCGCGAGTGCTTCTGGTTCTGCATGACCTCGTTGACGCCGCAGGGCGGCGGCGAGGCGCCGAAGAATCTGTCGGGAAGACTGGTGGCGGCCACGTGGTGGCTCTTCGGCTTCATCATCATCGCGTCCTACACAGCCAACTTGGCCGCGTTCCTCACCGTGTCCAGGCTGGAGATACCGATTGAGACTCTGGAGGATCTCAGCAAGCAGTACAAAATACAATACGCTCCTACGCTCAACTCGCCTGCGTACACCTATTTCCAAAGAATGGCGAACATCGAGGCACGGTTTTACGAGTGAGTAACCGCAATTTTAGCAGTTTAACATGCAAAAAACACTCTTGTTATATCAAACATAAGACAAATGTAATTGGACCTTGTTTCAATGATTGAAAAAAAAACATCATTATTTTATTTCCTATTGTTTCTCGGCAAACTCGAGATTTTATGTAAATGTTAATTTTAGTAATGATTATTGATTGATTTTATGTAAATGTTAATTTTAGTAATGATTATTGATCAATAAAAATGCAAAACTGATCGTGTTTTCCGATTAGTTTATAGTCATTGGGACACTTATATAATTTAATTGATATAATCACGCAGAATCTGGAAGGACATGAGCCTGAACGACAGTCTGTCCGACGTAGAGAGGGCGAAACTTGCCGTGTGGGATTATCCAGTTAGCGACAAGTACACGAAGATGTTCCAGGCGATGAAGGAGGCTGGCTTCCCGGTCGATATGAATGAAGCGCTCAGACGGATTCGACGTGAAGGCTCGTACGCGAACAATGAGTTCGCTTTTATCGGTGATGCATCGACCATCAAGTACCTCGCCATGACGAATTGCGATCTGGCCCCGGTGGGCGAGGAATTTTCGAGGAAACCTTACGCTATCGCCGTTCAGCAGGGCTCGCCGCTCAAGGACCAATTTAATAACGCGTACGTATACAACAGAAGAAGCGGTCGTGTAGTCGCGCGAGCGCGCTATGGATTCTCAAACTGATCTTCTTGCAGGATTCTCATATTGTTGAACAAGAGGAGACTGGAGAAGCTGAAGGACAAATGGTGGAAGTACAATCCCGCGAAGAAGAATTGCGAGCTGGAGAACAATCAGAGCGACGGTATCAGTATTCACAACATCGGCGGTGTGTTCCTCGTGATCTTCGTGGGCATCGTCTTCGCTTGTCTCACGTTAGCGATCGAGTATTGGTATTATCGACATCGGGCGAAAGTCACCGGATTGCGCAAAGGCTCGTCGCCTAAAACGACGATCATGAAGGTCGTGAAACCGCTCAGGCTCAGTCTGCACCCCCGCCTGTCACAGGATGCACAGCCCTCGCAGTTTGGATCACGATATTAGGAAATTCGGACGTTCGAGACTGTCGCTCTCGTGAAGATATGTAGGAAGAGAATAACCATAGAGTTTATTGCACTCGTGCAGTAAATCTTTTCAGGCGTGTTGATGTGTTTTGTTTGTTTCTGTTTATACACATCGATATGATCGTTGGATTTGCGAATGTTTGTATCAGTTAGCGCGACAGTACGGTTGCGAAATATCGGGAAACGTTGACAAGCTAATGTGCATATCTTTTATATAGTCTCATGTGTGTATACGTATTTGCGATTAGGTAATTTCTAAGATAATAACTAGCGAAAAACAGTCAGTTTGAATAGAGACTTTTGAATAGATAAGAACGAAGAGCTCTCATATAAATTACGAAATAAAAGGAAAAAGTGGAAAGGTACAGATATATATATATACGATTTTCACATTTGCAGTGCCTTTATTGGATTTCTTCGTACAATCCACATAATTCACCAGTTACGTCTCTGACGCATTTTTTTTCATACTCCGAAGGACCATTCGTAAGTGGCATCCTTCTGACGCGTTAACATGTTTTTATTTTTTATTTTTTTTTTTTTGAACGTACGCTTGGCATCTGCAACCTAGTAACACTTCTCGCGTACCCGTCGCGGGGTAAGCATGTCCTCAAATTACACGTTTTTTTTTTCCTTTTATACATACGTTCTCAATTATCCTGTCTCGGGAGAGCACAGGAAAAGCATCGGATACAGGGAGGTTTGGAGCAATGGGGAACGGGGAAGAGGATAGTCAGGGGTTAATCTTCTAGGAGGAGTTAAATTATAATTAGAAAAATACAATTAAGATAATTCATTATTAATTAAGAAAAACGACAAGAAAAGAAAAACAGCGCTCGAATGAAATACCCGAGTTGCAATCGTGCAGCATTCAAATAAGTACTCAAAACTGTCTGTAATTCCTAACTTTCGCGCGTTCGTTTTTCTTATTTAATTTCGATGCGCAAAACGTCCAATACTATAGGCGGCACGTCGGACGAGAAACGAAATTGCTCCCTACGATTTTTTTCTACTAAAAATCAGCGCACTAAGTTTCCTCAAAAATCACATAAAAGTAATCAACAACCTACAACTGAAATCACGTGGACTACGTTCTTCAACGTTTTCTCGACGTGAAACGCTGTATAAGGTGTACACTTCTTTTTTTTCCTTTTTTTCTTCATATTTCGTTTCTTTCCTCCTTACTCATCAAAGGATTAATGTTCATTTATCTAAATGAATATTGAATAGGCACGCGTCTCGCTTTACTTCGATATCGCGTGTTGCTTATTATGAGTGACGATGGGGTTTATTCGTGTCTTCTTGGATACATGCATAACAAATTCCACATGCCAAGAGGACCCCCATTCACGCTCCTATCGTTTGCATCTTCGTTTTGCAATAAAAACAATTATAGCTAAACTTCAAATCTTCAGTCACGTAGTTTATTTCCCCAGCTTACATTATTCGTTCCGGCATCGTCACAAATATGTCAGTGCCAATCTTCTTCAAAAGCTTTTCCCTCACCTTGTTCATACAGTTTTTCCTATTGAAATAAAAATGCATACGTTAAGTACAATTACCACTGTAGCAACATTACATTCTTCGTATAAATTTAATTTGTAATTACGACATGACATTATTAATTATATAACATCCGTTATGTACGTGTTTTTTTTTTTTTCAATATTTCTTACCATTCTCTATCATCTGCCAGATTAATCTTGACTGCTGCCCGGTTCATTCTATCCAAAATATACTTTCGTCTTTCTTCTTCATTACCAAACACAACTTTAGTGTCATCATCACTCTCCTCTTCGTCCTCGTCCTCTTCATCTTCTTGCTCTTTTCTATTTTCTTCATATCTACTTTGTCCATTCTCCACTTTTCTCTCTTCCTCATTTTCGTCCTCATCGTCACCATCGTCATTTTCGTCGTCATCGTCATCTTCTTCTTCATCGTCATCGTCATCACCTTCGTTATCATCATCCCCATTATCGTTGTCCTCATTATCATCATCATCTCCATTATCGTCATCGTCTTCATTTTTTTCATCTTCATCCTCATCCTCTTCTTCATCATCGTCTTCGTCCTTATCTTTTTTCTTTGTCTTTTCCCTATCTTTGTACCTTTCTTCATTATCTTTTTCTACTTGGTTATATTTGTAGATTTCGATTTTAATATCCTCCTGCTCCTGCTCCCCTTCTTCTTCATCTTCACTTTCCTTCTCCTCATGATCATCCCCATCTTTATCATAACTTTTATTTTCGGTTTTATCTTTACCTTCCAGTTCTTTTCTATTGCCATTATGGTCACGATCTCTATTAGTCTGTTTAATTTCTTGCTTATGATGAATGCCATTTTTCTCATTATCTATTGTTATTGCATCTTGATTTTCTGTAACCCATTTATTTTTTGGACACTGGACCGTGACTGTTTCCTCGCCTTCAATAACTGCTTCTTCTTCTTCTTCTTCTTCGTCCTTGTTTATGACAATGTCTTCACCTCTAAGCGGAGTACTGTCATAACAATCATCGTCGAAGAAGAGTTTACGTCTGACCGCAAATCGCACAGGGTCTGTTTGGATACTCTTGTCGCACTGGCGCACCCGGAATTTCGGAGTTAAATTTGAAGAGAGTATTGCGGGCACGACGGGGCTGGCCGTGTCATTCTCTCGATACTCCATATATGGGCTTTCTCCGCCAGGAAGATACCATACATTTCCTGACTCAGATCTACGATAGGCGACCTGTTCTACAGCAGTATTGACGGGGAATGTTGTTCCGTCTGCCCAGTAACCATCGTCCTTTATTGGGCGAAAATGTGTACGTGCGGAAGTCAATAAATCCTCATCTGGTTCTGGAAGGTTACTTAGTTTCAGAATCGAAGGGGATTCTATGTGACTTCCATGAGAAGGTTTGCAGGATGCTACTGGAAAGGAACCAACCGCTTGTATATTCCGAGTCAAATACACCCAGTTATCTTCTATTCCTTTTCTGCGCCAAAGATCATTGCTAATCAGGTCCGGCCAATTTTTTATGTTTTTCGTGTTATTATATCCTATAATAATAAATGTGTATTAGAAATTAAAAAAAAAGAATAAATGGAGATATAGAGGAGATGCAAGGATATTTAAAAATGAAAGAAAAAGGAAAAGAAATGTCAGCTAAATAACTAAAAGTACAAAATCTTGGTGAAATCTTGAAATATTACGAAATGATACCCTACCTGCATTATATTTGAAGCTGTTCTCCACCGGATCTTGAACGTTGATTAGCTCGCCATTCTGTATGTCACTGATAGGTGCTTCAAGGCGAGATACTGAGTGAAATAAGTCGACATCAATGATTTTCCCATTTTTTGAGCCAGATGAATAGACGCTCATGGGAGAACCATCAGGTATTGTAAATATCGGTTGCGAGTTTGGAAATATAGCAGGGGCAGGAGGGATTATCCTGTCCTGCAGGAGTTTACAGTCCTGCTGTTCTTCCTGCGCAATTTGTAACCCTCCGTTCCAAATTGCTTCCACATCCTCGTTAAATTTAGCCTGCAGTCGAGCTAACTGTAACCGTTCGATCTCCAATTGTAGACGGTCCTTTTCTCTTTGCCGTTCCATCGACTCAACAAATCCAAAACTGTTTTTGTTGTCTGGCTGTTGGAACTCAATGTTACTCACAACGGATACATTATTATTTTTATTGCATGCTTCATTATTTTTGTTATTGTATGAATTGATCCTGTTGTTCGTGTTGCTGCAGTATGTAGTGCCAATATTCTTTTCCGTCCACCGAGAAATCTCTTCTATCAGTACAGGTTGCAATGAGATTGTGAATTCTTCTTGAGTTCCGTAAGCGCTACCGGCAGGCATGGATGCTTCTATATTCGTTGCGGGTGTGTGAAATTCTTCGTTGGGTATCTTAAATTCTTCTTCCATAAGATTCACGTTCCTGCCGTCCACTTTGTCTAGCCTCGTCATCACTTCGTCAACCAGCATCATTATTCTTGATAAGTTTGCCTGCATGTACACACAGTGAATTAAATTTATATTTTGTATTCAAATATATTAAACATATTAACCATAATTAAATATAATTCATATATTTTTGGCTCGCATTCACATATCTTGAATTAAAATTACACATTCTCTCTTGTCAATTTAGAGCTAAAAATGCCTAATTGAAACATCCAATACTATTGAACAAGCAAAAAAATCCCTTTATGAAAGCCAGTCATTAGTCTCTAATCCCAGATAGCACAAAGAATTCAAAAAGAATTCAGTTGTATGTCACCAATTCTGAGTTAATTTTTAGATGCAAACAGAATTCTTTTCACTGAACTGAATTTTGAAGAATTCTTTTTGCAGAAAATGACCTCAGAATTGGTGACATACGACTGAATTCTTTTTGAATTCTTTGTCAATTCTCTGTGCTATCTGGGATGTTATTTGTATTCAGCACAATCTTTTTATCTTTACTGTCAATTGAGTTGATGTATGTGCAGTGAAATGAAGCTCTCACCAGCCAAGTGGATTATGGCAATGCAAATGATTACATCGCAGCTTAGAAATTGTATAGCTGTCATCATGCGTGATATCAAAACTTACATCAAAACTGCTAGCACCTATCAGACATCCCAGGGCAATAGCTCGTCGTTCGGCTCGCATCCAGTTACCAAGGGTCTCCAGCTCTTCTACGGATGAGGCAAGTAGATGTTGTCCTGTGTACGTGTCTACTCCAACGATCCCTTGCACGGTACTTAGGGCCGAGATGGGGTAGCGCAATAGAGAGATTAAAAATTCCAGGTATCTGGACACGTTCACTCCCAATATGCACAGCTCAACATAAAGCCACATGCGCAACTCATCCTCGGCCCTTAAGCTGAAGAATTCACGCCCTTGAGGGGACGTAGCTATCCCAACCAGATGTTCTCTCGGGCTCCTCATTCCCTCTTACAGAATATTCCCCTAGACCCAGAAACTCTAACAAACTCCACTACCCCTCGGGTGATCATCTCTCCTACAAAATCACAAAATTATCTCACAGAATTCCACAAGAGTGTCTCTGTAGAGATGCTTTAGAGAGGAGCTTTAGAGGACACGGTCGCTTATACGAAATTGTGCACTCACCTATATACAGTAAGGTATTACGGTATTTTATTATTGTCCTTTAATGTTTCAATTTAACTGAATCCACCACCATAACGCTCGGGCTCGTCAATTGCTTCTTTTAAAATTCTTACTTGAATTCTTCTTTTTGTCTTTTTTTCTTTCTTTTTTCTCTCTTTGCGTTAAGTTACTTAATTGCCCGGTAACGGTATTAATATTTCTTAGAGTTTCAGTTACGTTGTTTAAAAATTATTTAATTCTTGTATATGGGTGGTGGATATATTGTTAGAGTGAGGCTGGCAGGTCTTAGCGAAGGATAACAAGTATAGTTTCCTTCCCATTTTGACACTGGAAGTTAACAAGAAACAGCTTAAGTAATCGTTCTTGGACGAAAAGCCTCGGACAGTTCGTGTCATTTGCGACCGAAAGGATCAAAGTATAAGCTACAGAGAAGGGTCTGCGAGTGTTTCTAAGCAGTGCACTCGCTTATGCACTCCCATGATCTTTAAGTCTGAAAGGCAGTGTGCTCTTTTTTCGCTTTCTGTCTCCTATTTATGTTTTTCTAGTTAATTCTAAGTCTAGTCAAAGCTTTAAATCGGAAAAAGATAAGGAGAAAAAAACAGGAAGCACAAAGAGCACACTATAGATCAAACTTTATCAGCGTCAAGTTCTCAACGTTCGAAAACGATCTCACGACATTGAAACATTATTTTGCGCGACGCGACGTATACTTTATATCAACAACCAACGAATTTTACGTCTCTTTGGAGCGAACACACAGACTGTCAGTAAAAACGCGAGGGATCTTAACGGTCGTCTCGACAATAACATGACAAAGGTACGTCACGGTAGAATCGTGTCGCAACACGCGGATTGAGATTTATAAACGTACCGAGACCCGGTGGAAGAATTACATGTAGCGCACAATGTGCGTAGAAAGAGAGACGCACATTGTGACGGTATGCGCGCCCGAGACCATTGCGATCGCTGTCAAAGAGACGTCGTTATCTCTAGATACGCGAGAGAACGCGCGCGCGACTAAGGTCGCTCTTCTCGCATTATCTTTATCTCGGCGAAAAAGGCCGCGACGCAACACGGCGAAACGACGACGCGACGCGACATAACGTAACGTGACGCGCGAGATCGCGAGGCGATCGACAAGAATTCGCTCTCTCTCTCTCTCTCTCTCTCTCTCTCTCTCTCTCTTTCTCTCGCTTTCCTGAGGCGTGTGTGTACACTGGCACGCGGTGTCCGCGAACGCGTGCCCCGCGCGTTTCTCAGCGGTCATTGGCGAGGCAGCGGGCGAGAGGAGAGCATCTCCCGATCGGGCAATGCAAATAACCTTGCCGATCGCGCTATATAATGTTTCGTCTGAGTCATAGCTCTGCCCGGAACGAAAGCCCCGAGTGCGTGACGTTACGAAACGCGCGAACCGCGACGTTCGTTAGCGCGCGCGACTCGCACGACGGGACGGACGGACGCGCGAGCCCGCCCGGGCTGGGCTGTCGCGTCCAGACGACGGTGAATTCGCATTCCTCCGACGTACCTGCATGCCCCGAGAGATGATTCTCACCCCGGCCTCTTCTACACACCCCTCTCAGTGAAAAACATGGCGAGCTACTAATACTGAAACTTCCAAACTTCCACTTCCCACCACGGCCGTGAAGGCACCGTGTCAACACAGTGATGCGGCTCTGTTCTTCTTGTCGTATGTGCTGCTATCTCTGGGAGCTAATCCGCACTCGCGAGCGGAACCTCTCGCGTATACCGCACCGTACTAAATGCAAACTAGGCGCAATTCACGGGACGCGGTTCACGACAGAGAAGCCTGAGAGCAACTAACTTGATTTTAGTGGCCAGAGCTAGGCGCATTTTCGCCTAGACGTCACCTAACAAAGTGCGCTTTTACTAGCGTTCGTTACGCCCGTATTAGACTGCTGACTACTAACTACTGACGGCACAGGTCGACCCGACTACCGGGTGAGACCCGATTGACCACGATACGATTGGACACAGATTGTAATGATTGGTTCGACCTAGTAATTCACTAAATAATTCTTTTCATTGGTTGATTGTGTCCAATCGTACCGTGGTCAATCGGGACGCTCCCCCCGACTACCGATTACGACTGCTGACTCTCAATGGACCAATCACAGTGAGGCGCCGAGTCAGCGCCATTGGTCCATTGAGAATCGGCAGTCGCAGTCGGCAGTCGGATCGGCTGTGTAGTCGGTAGTCTGATACGGGCTTTAGGCGCATTTTCGCAACAACGATAAAATCACAGACTTCTATATACTACTAAACTGCTAATTCCGATTCAATACATAATCCCGAAAAATATGTACAGAAATCTCGCGCATGCGTCTATCTGGTGGTCCAACATTCATAATGTAGCATTTCGTTTTAGGCATTATTGCATTCTGATGTAGGTATACAATTGATCAATCACTTATTTTTACAAGTACTAGAACACCACATAGCGCGCGCTTCGCGCGCGCCACTTTAGCCTTTTTGTTGTATTTACAATTTATATTATAATATTAGT